AAATTCATTGACGAAATAAATATTTATCGAAGCGTTTCACGCGTTTGTCCAAGTTTGCGTGCGATCGAATGGGATCTCGTCTAACCTCGAACCGCAAGTTTCGGATTACAAAAAAATAAGCACCGACTAGATAATGAGCGTACAAGCTGGTTACTTGGTAACTCGAGCACTTGGCTGGTGCAGAGGACCGGGAAAAGGGTGGGTGCAGCCCTAGCCATCTGGCGCTCATTGTCCGCGATCCTGTGTGTCATTCGTCGCGATGCACTTGCCGCAAAGCGTCGCGTCGCGTCGCGTCGGTTCGTTTCGCTGTTCCCGAATGCCGCACGTTACGAAACCTGCGCTTGCGGTCGCAGCCCCGTTTTCTGCCAGTCGTTTGCCCCTTTGGTACGCCGCACGCTGGCCAAATTCGTCCAATTCATGGTCGTAACATTAAAAAACTCAATTTCTACGTCAAATTCGGCATTTATATTTACTAATACGGTAGACTTTCGTAGGAATTTTATGTATTTTACTTTTTATTAACAAATTGTATTATCACATTATCCATGGTTGAGTTTACTAAAAATCAAAAACAAATTTAAAAAAAAAAATCGAGAAGGGGTGCGGAAAATCGGTGAAATTAAAAAATTTCAAAACAATTTGGAAAAATTATTTTTAGTTTCAGGGGTTAACTACAATAATTTTTGGTGAATAGACATACCCTCGAAATCCTACGTACTTCCGAGAAAAAAATTCAAGAGTTGGACAAATTTTTCGGCGAAATTAAGAAATTTCAAATCGTACTAAAAAAATTATTTTTAATTGCAGGGTTCAATTATAATCACTTTTGATGAATAGACATAACTCCGAATTCCTACGCTCTTTCGAGAAAAAAATTCTTTACCGAAAATACAATGTCTGATCCTGAAATTCCGATTCCTCTGAAAGAGGTGTGTTTATACCTCGTCTATGATTATATTCCTCGTTTTTATCACTTCATATGTTGGTATAGTCCAATTATCCGGTATATTTGATGTTCTGGCATCGCCCCAGACCCGAGTATGCCGTATAGTCGGGATTTTACTGTGCGTTGGTATAAAAACAACACGAATACACACCGCAGCCCTAAAGAACAAACAAAGTCTACTTGTCCATTTTTCATTCAACTGATACATAGGTATAAAATTATCGTTTTAAACGCGGATATGTATTTTTTACGTGAAAGTTTAAATAAGAAGAGAAATGAAAACAGTTGTATCGAAGGTACAGAAAGATATCGCGTTGTGGTTTCGACCATGGAATCGCCGATTTTTCCCCGCAGTCGCGATAACGCGTTCGTACTTCCAAACGCGATGGCGGGTTTGTTCGACTCGGCGGGCTTAGGAAGAGCAAATTCTGATCGTTTAGCGAACGAGCGCCAAGTGGCGGAGCAAATATTGGCACGGACCGTACCGACAAAGAGACTTCGACGAAGACTTGCTCGGCCGACCAGTTAAGATCACAGAAATCGCGGCCAACTGCTCCGACGTTGCAGCCGGGCACCCTTATGCCCTACGGGTTTCTGTTGGGCGGGCAAACGGTGGCAAAAGGGGCGTACAAAGTACCTTCGCTCTGCCGCTTCAACTTTTGCGGTCCGGTGGCGGTCGCATAGAAACGAACTTGTCCTTTCGTTCCACCTTTACAACCCTCTTCATTTTTTTTCAGATAAAAACTTTAGTCTTTTTTACACCACCGCAAACGAATTATTCATCCAAACTTTTAACCTCCCCTTCGAGATACTGCCCCCTTTCCTAACTACTCGTTCTTTTCCTACCTTTCCCTGTTTTCGAAGACTTCTAGCGTTGCTTAATTTTCACGTAACACCACAATTTCGCTTCCTGGATTCGTGTTTAATTTCTCGTCAAGATCAATATTTAGACATTTTAGAAGTTGGAAGTTCCTAATTAGAGCTTCTTAACTCGCGGATAGTCTCGATTCGGGATCCGCGCTTGGTCGAAGCTATTCGGATCGTCTCGGAGGAGAAAAGACACGGAGCGTGGGTATGAATGTTTGAAACCGTGGGAGGAAAGGTGGGAGGCGTCGCGAGTATGAAAAGTCGTCGTAAAAGGGCGGAACGCGGTCGTAAAGTTGAATTCGCGCCGGGTGTTCATCGACGCGCGAGGTCTGTGCCTGCGAGTAGAGTCGAGTCAAGTCGTTTGACCTACATTGTTCGGCTTCGAGTCGATCAGGGCTTGAAAACTGTTGCAATATATTGTATATGTGAGTCATGATCCACCAAGGTCCGCTTGGAACGTAAAAAACACAGAGTTATGGCATTTTCCATCGCCAGACATCGGCTTCCGACGATTTCACGTCCCCCAAAATTCAACTTTCTTTTCCGATCCCTAATATTGTATCATAACTATACATTAGTATCATAGTATTTTCGTTCCTTTTCGGTATAATCAACACTGGTAAAAATAATATACTGTCAAAGTATATTATTAAAGGATCTAGTGTGTAAAAAGAAATTGCCCCATTGCAAGTTTAAGAAAATACACATATGGATGAAATAGATCTCTTTAATGCTAGAATTACCGACAATTAGAATGTACATATTTACTGTACCATAGAAATTAAAACGATAGCTTCTCGAAGAAATGTTTAACACAATAGAAATAAATGTTAGAAAACCACGGTTTGGAAAAATTCAGTGGAGTATACTTTTTGCAATTTTTATTAGAAATTACGAATCATTTTGAATCATCCAACAAGTCTTACGAGTGGCGGAGGTATAATTTATATTTACATGTATTATATTTCTAAATTTTGTATTATTCTAATATTTTCTATTTTGTTTTAGCTATGTAAGTTTGTAAAAAGGGCATTGCTCATTAAAATGTATTATTTCAATAATAATGTTATTCAATTTCCCACGTATTTAAGATCTATTTTGATAAATGTTACCCTGGATAGAGACTCGCAATCCTTGCTTTCGGATAGTTTCTTGTTACTGTACAACGACTACTTTTCCAAATACGTCGGCCCGAAACTAACGAGGAGGGTGTTGGGCCACGAACGGAGAACGAACAAAGGGGAAAAAAGATAATGGACAATCCCCGCGAATCGGTTGTCCGACGGATGGGAGCGACACACAGCAACAATGCAGCCATACACTGTTTTTCCATTATACGGCATTAACCGCCTCCACGGACCTCCCTTTCCTTCTAACAGCTTTTCCAATAACAACGATAGAACTCCAAATCGAATAGAATAAAATGGAAAGTACAAATATAAACGATACTCGTTGCTTCAAAAGTTGTTTGAATTTCAACAAGAATCTCTATAATAAATTTCAACGCGTTCAATGACCGTCTGTCTCGTCACAATCACTAGTAAACCTAGAGAATACAAACGTCATGGAACTCGAACGAGCGAACAACAAGAAATATGGCGACGTGAAATCGTTTTCCCGGATTTTGTCCTTTTCTTTTGGACCAGCTCGATCGATGGTTGAGAGGCGCGAGAACTATTCTTACGGACACCTCGGGATCCCTTCCGGTTTCTACCTATTATTCCGGATGAATGCGCGCGGGGAACGGGCACACGATTATGCCAAAAGTTTGCAACGGCCACGCAATTATCCTCGATTTAGCCTGCGGCCTGGTATCTCGAAGAAAACACTCGCTCGAGAAAGGAAGCATAGGTCGTCGGTCAGAGTAAATCCCTCTCCGGGGCCGGGATCTCGGCATTCTGTGCATTCTTCGGCATTACGAAAGCCATGATACTTTAAGCGCGCGTCGACGAGACGAATCTAGCCTCGCATTCATTTGCCGAGTTCCGCGCTTGGCTACAGCCCTTCCGAGTTCAGAGACCATCGATCTTTCCGAAAACTATGGTCTCCAAGAGCAACGCAAAACTTGGTCGACTGTTCTTTGACCACATCACGCCTCCACACATACCTTCACGACTAGAAAATTGTCACCTTTTCAGAAGAACTTTTATAGCTTCTGGAATAACTGTAAATCATGCTGATAAAGTAATATGCGATCTACGAACATAATATGTACACGTGTAGACAGACGCGTGACATCTATTGTCTCGGGACTAACGCACTTACCTCGTACGTATGTATATAAAGGGTGTTACAGAACTGGTGGTACAAGTGGAAAGTGGGTAAATCTAGATGACAAAATAAGAAGAAAATGTGAATAAAACATCCTTTTGTCTGCAGGATGAAGGATATGTGTTATTCGAATTGTTGTTCCGATTGCTTAGCTTAGATACTAGGGGATAAACATTGAAGTAATGAAGCTACATTTTGATCGAGAAGTTTAAGCCATGACGTTGGTACCGTCTATGAATTGAAACACAACGAAGACTAGCAACACAGTCAAGTGTACGCTTACTCTACGAATCATTAACATCGATTTATTTGGAAATAAAGCTTATTCTTTAATGTAGATTCACCCACTTTCCGTTTGTACCATCAGTTATACCCTGTATATGTATATGAAAGCGAAAAGCGAAAGCCATTGTAACGAAACGACGTAGACAATAGTTGTTTTCCTAAAATAGTACCAAATTAACAGATACTTGTTGATACCTATGATACAATTTGGTATAGAGTAAAAAATTATAAAGTGGCGTAACGGACGCGCGTTTTATTGCAAAAGCACGTCGAGAAGAATGGGCGCAGAGTCAGAGACCAAGTTGAACCGAGATCCGTGACAACTGGGGCGCGAGAATTTCGTTTTCCACGCTCGAGAGGGTGGCTCGGTTTTCGAGCCGGGCGAACGTTTTATTTATGCACGATGCCCAGTCAAACTTAGCATCGTAGGCCACCGAATTATCGACGGGAAATCGATTTCCGAACTCGTCAGGGACACTCGTCGTCCATGCCATGTGTGCAGCGACCTAAACCCTGACGATGACGATCCATCGCGACGCGCGCTCTCGTCTCCCGTTTATCCCCCTCCGACAAGGGGGGAGAAAAAACCTCGTTAATCGTCCGCGTTTCAGATAACGGAAAATGTACTCACGTTTTGCGCGGAGAGAATTCTCGTGGCCGACTGAATGGTCGTGCTTCCCGAGTGGGGCCGATGACGCAAGGATTCGGCCGTATTGTCTCGAGAGCAGACACTCCTGTACCAGGGCAATCCACTCGAGCTGTCTCGTCTGTTCCGATATTTCCTCCACACGTGTCTGCGAAACAGAACAAAACGCGTTTTTCAATACTCGATAAACGATCCCTCCCGTTGAAAACCCGACGATCTTTAATCCGCTGGCTCCGTTTCACGGGCACCGAGCGTTTCGGGAACAAATCTTTTTTCCATCGGCCGTAAAAAGTTGAAAAAAACAGTCGCGATCCCAAGTAGCCGAGCATTTTTACAATTTTCTCCGGGCAGATTTATGAAACCGATCGCCCCGCGATCGCGACGCCACAGTTTCTGCAATAACGTGGGATTACTTGGCTTAGCATCGGTTACCGCGAAAATTTCCGAGCTCCCAGCGGCGCACGGACGCGTAGAACACGGGGGCTATCGGTTTTTATCGCGGAGGCCGGAGTTAATTTCTCGGGATCAAAGGATCGCGCGAAATCAGAATTTTACGAGGCCGTATCCGGAAAGTAAGTTTCGTTTGCGAATGCAACCGCTGCAACGTTGCAATCCCAATTATGCGTACGCCTGCTGATACTGTATATTGCCAAGCCACGCGTGCTGAAACAATCAGTTGCGTGCTTTTGAACTAAACCTAATAGTTGAAGAGTTCTACGCTTGAAACTTTACTGAATCATGTTCCTGTTAACCTTTTGAGTGCTGTGAACACATATATGGGCATTCACTCAAATTATTTCAGTTACAATCAACATATTAGCCCACGACTCAGCGCTCAAAGGGTTAATCGATACATTTTCCGCCGACAAAAGCCTCTGTTTGAGTCGCGAACGTTTCAACGTGTCTCTGTTTCGCGAGAAGGAAGAAAATTCGAGACTCCGCGATGGAAATTTCAAGCTGGACGATGGAAACCGAAATCCTTGGTGGGTTTTAGTCCCTCGTTAACGTCGGGGGAGGCGAAGCAAGGGGCGAGCCAGGATTTAGCCGTCGATACGACGCGGGGGGATGAGAGATTACGATCAGCGGGGAACAATCGATCACGTCACGAATATCCGGCGAGAGTGGGCGTTATGGCAGCAAGTAAGTTCGACAGTGATCGAGTCGCGCTCGTCGCGCTGCCTGACTTATTGTTACCCTTTAATTGCTCCATTAATCAACGTCGAAGCTTTCGCTTTCGCGAGCCGACCGCCGCGCTTTTCGTCCTCCTCGCTGTTGTAACGCGACTGTTACTGTACCGTTAACTTATTCGCTGACTTAACGGTCTCTCGTGCTGCTCTTTCCACGGTTGCAAACGAATCTCGTTTCTGCGCTTTAACGCGCTCGAATTACTGCAATTCACCGGAGGCGAACGTTATGTTTTTAGACAATCGAGAACTACGGTCAGGCACCACATTGGGTGAACTCCTGTTTGTGATAGAAAACAATGCAGCAAGTCAAGAATTTTTAATGAAAACGTTAATACCATACTTTGAAGCATTGTAACAAACTTTTCTACAGAATTCTACAGAATTTTTTTAAGGTTTCAGCCATGGAACTTTTGGAATGGTCACCACAAAGTCCATATTTGAATCCTGTTAAAAACCTATGAACCTTATTGAATAAAGAAATATCAAGTACCAGCAGAATGGACAAAAGTTCGTTTTTCACCGGTTACAACATTCATGGGAATGTATAACGTAAAAAGTATTCCAAAACATTTAGAAACAGTCATTAAGACTAAATGAGGAAATAAAAATATTAAAAGAACGTAAATAGAGTAAAATATAGAAAAAATAAAAATTTCCACACAATTCTGTCCACACTGTTCTGTTTCTCTCGGGCTTGTAAATATTCCCATTCAAAATAAACTACTTTATTTCATAAAAAGGCGTACGAAATATCTTTGTAAACGTGTAAACTATATCAAAGAATTAAATAAGTGGCAATTAATTAAAAAAAAATCTTGGCTTACTGCATTTTTTTCTAGCGCAAACGAGAGTTCACTCAGTTTTCAAAAGTTTCCGCTGTTTCAATATTTTATAATATTATTCGCCTGGCTAAGAGAAAAAAAAAAATTCTCACGGTAATGAGACGCGAGCGGTTTGTTTAAAGCGGAGGCAAAAGCAAAAGTTTCCGACAGCTTTTGAGGCGCACGGGGCAAAGAAACAGTATGCATATATCTTACCTAACGCCGAAGGCAATTCCCAGCGCAACGATCAGAGGCAACAGCGTCGAGATGCACGCAAGGAATACTGTCTGTATATCTGAGAAACCAGCGAGTATACCTGTAAAACACCAACATTTTAATTTCAAAATGTCTTAATTATTACACGGGACATTTACACATTTAATTGACTGGACTCGTAGGACCAGGAAATAAATTATTCGACCAGTGTCTAATAAACAAATAAACGGGTTTCGTGGCCACTCCGATTTTGCAAGTCGAAATATACGAGCAACGCGACGCGAACGTGCGTTTTTCATTCGCGTTGAACCGATTTCGACGACAGCTGCCAGGGACCGCAAGATGACATCCGTTTAAAAGTAATGGACGAAGTTGCAATTTCTGGTTTGAAACGCTTCGTTTTCGCTGACGAACGAATCGATGAAAAGTTTCAGGTTACACAATTTCCAAGACCCGCGTCGACGATGCATCGAGGCGCATCGAAATCTACGATAAGCAGACGGGCCCGAGCAACGGGCGCAAAATGAACGAGTGTCGCGCGGGGGAGTCGAAATGGATCGACTGTCATTTCCGGAAGCTGATCCCGCTTTACAGGAAATCGTCGTGCCTATGGAAGAGGGACTCGAGGCATTATCTCGACAACGAGCGCAGATACCGCGCGTACAGGTATATTCGCGACAACCTGGCTATACCGGGGGTGAGTTTGATCGAGATCCTGCTGAGGATTCGCGAGATGCGCAGGCTCTACGTGCTGGAGCTGAAAAAGCTGCTGGAGGCCGAGTCTAGCGGCGACCATCGCGCGAACACGTACCCATGGTTTTACGATTTGCATCGATTTCTCTATCCGTACCTGGACTACGAGGAGGCGGTCGAGCTGCACGTACGTATCGATAAATTCGTTACGCCATTAGCAACGACAGTGCTCGACGGTTTTGCCAATAATAACATCGCTGTAGCTTCTCGTTAGGCAGACTACCCATCGGGGACGATTTATGAAACGCGTTTGATACTACGATTACCACGGCGCCTCCGATAATCCAACGCGGGCGAAACTGATGTCGTTGTTTTTAATGGAACGCTCCGACTCGGGCGAAACCGGAAAGCCGGTCGAGCTAACGGGCGACATTTTTTTGTTCTACTTCAATTTTTTCGTCCTAGTTCGCGGCTCGCGAACTGCGCTCGCAAAACTGCTCGAACGGTTACGTTTAGAACATCCAAGCAATTAATTATGCATGTTAAACAGAAGCATTTTATGCAGTTGCGGGCAGAATTAAGTGGACAGGTAATGGGAATAAGTATAAATTAAATTTAACTAAAGCAGTATAACTACAGTAGAGGTACGATTATACGGCATCCGGTTATTAATGTTACGCATTATATTTCACACAAACAAAGAAGTCGCTGGCGCATGCATCCAGCAGTGACATCAATACCAAACAGTTGACGAATAAACAAGAAATTTCATATATTTTATTTTTTATTAATATATTGCACTACTACATTACCCATGGTTGTGTTTATTACAAATGAAAAACAAATTTTAAAGAAAAATCGAAAGGGGTAGGTGCAGAAATTAAAAAATTTCAAATCGTTCTGAAAAAATTATTTTTGTTTGAAGGGGTCAATTACAATCATTTTTGGTGAATAGACATACCCCTGATATCCTACGCACTTTCGAGAAAAAAATTCTTTACCGAAAATCCGATGTCTGATCCTGAAATTCCGATTTCCCTGTTTCATGCGTATGTTTAAGAGATCATAACTCCTTTACGGATTGAAGGATTTTAATGTTTCAGAATGCAAACAACGCGTATTTTGGTGAAGAATATATAGAAATTCTAACAATGTTTGAAAAGTTGTTCCTTGACCCCGTAAAGTTACCTAACTCCCTTAAAAATGATCCAATTCCTCGTTTTTATCGCTTCAGATGTAGGTATAGTCCAATTATCCGCCATATTTGATTTTCCAGCACAGCCCCATTTTACTGTATTCTGCACTTCAGTTTTATACAATAAAGTTTTGTACAATAAAACTTAAGTTCATAATAGTTACAGCACGTTGATTAATTCATACCTATTTTTCGTACCTGTCCACTTAATTTTGTCCGCAACTGTATATCCTGAAACTACATAAAATATAACTGCGTCTCTTACTGTTAGCCTGTGCTTTTTCAAGATGTAGTTTTATACTCCAGTTTAAATATTACTACGTAAAAGCTACTTAGATAGCTAAAGCTGCTATCCAGTGACATTTGTCGCAATGAAAATCCACAGGACGTGGGTCAAACAATCTGTGAGCTAGAAGAAACGGACGGAGAAGATGGCCGTCGGAATCCTTCAGATCGTCGGTGCCTCGACGGTTCTATCAAATGTTTTTCACTAACCCGACGAGCTTTCGGCGCCCTGGGTTCGACTAGTTCCCCGACCGTTTCAATGCCAGAGGTCGATACTCGTCCTCGAACTTGTCCTCGATCCTGCAGCAGGATTACTCGCCCAACAAAACAGCTGGACGACGATTTATCGGTAACGATATAACGAGATTGATCGTTGCAGAGGCATAAATCGAGCAGTAACGAGTCGATTGAATCGATACCGCAATTTCATCCACGCGTAATTAAATCGTCCCGTTGCAGCGTAAGAAGCATCATGAATTTGTAATCTGTGGATTGCATAGCGCGTCGTCGAACAGTGACTCTTTCGAGACCGATTCGGATAACTATGACGCGTTCTCGACGACCGTCACGCGTCTCTTGAGGAAATTGGACAGACCGTTCGCGATCAAAGCGCAAAGGAAAATTCAGAAGATCTTGTCGATCTTCCTGGCCGAATCGAACGTAACTATCAGAAACTTTCGATCGAGTTATTTATGATCGCATCGATACCGTGTTATTTTTAGACCGAGAAGAATCGAACGATTTGAAATCTGCGGACGCGTGTGCTCGACAAAATCTTCACGCCATCTTTTATTTTTCAAATGAATATTTCTCGTGTACAAGCACGTTTAATTGGTAAGTGTGAATTGAAAAAAAAAGAACATTAAACCGAGGTGAGAATCGAAATTCACACTGTATAAATGTATACGAAACGGTTAAATAATTCCGTGGGTTCCGAGCTGAGAATGTTTCGCTCGATTCCTCAGATTACCAACGTCGGAGCGTCCAACTATTCTCGAACTGTGCCACGCGGGAATGTTTAAAAGAAGCCGATGGCCGATCGCGAGTTTCTACCGTCGTTGAAAATGCTTCGATCGGAAACTGAATTTCGTCGTACATCGCGGTTGTAGCGCGCGGGTGGTATCGATCCGACTTTGGTAGACCGCAGCGTTGCGATTAGTATTCCGCCTGTGTTGCAGTCGGACAAGGACAACGATGGTAAGATTTGCTCTGATAACGGATTATCCTCGGATCGAGACGTACGCCAGACCTTTCTTCTATACGTTGAAACCGTATCGCGCGATAGGAGTCACGGAAATGTTTGTTAATAGAATAGAAAACTAGAACTCTAACTACACTGGCTTTTAAAATCTAATATTTTCAAGATTGTTGTTTCCTAACAGTTGTTTTCCGTATCGAGTACAATTTTATTAACTAGTCTGTACTAGTCGCGCAAAATGCCACGATAAGACGTTACGACAGTATGGAAAATACCGCTAGTAACTAAGGGTAGAAACAGGAGTCTCGCGCAAACTTGGAATAGCAGACGACGGAGCTTAAAACTTCTTGAATCTCCAATATCCAGCGAAAACTTCCCGGGGATCGTCGCGAACGAGGACACAACGCCGTGGAAGATATTTTTCCAATAGGAAAACACGACGGTGTAATAAATTCAGGGAACGGGATGCTAGGGGCATAAGTGGAAATCCACGTACAGGTACACGGATTAAACAACGTTTAGGCCAATTCGAAAAATCCTCCCGTTGCTCGATGAAACGAGATTCGAACGCTCCGCGGAGTGTGGTTCGACCTTCGAACGGGACCAACGGGAACACGGAGGTCGTCGACATTTTTCCGAATGAAAAATTGTCGAGTGGAAAGAATAACGCCGAGGGGGGAAAAAACTGAACAGCGCCGATTGGAGTTTCGCGCGGCGTTCGGTTAATTCAATGGAAACGCTTTCGAACGAACAAAACGACTTCGTCGCGTTGCGTCGCGTCGCGTCGACGAAAGCTGGATCGAAGTCCCGACGAGTGCCGCGCCCTCTGTGACCTACAACCCTGCTACATATTGGAAACGCAATTTGTATCGAAAGGGCATCGAAGCTGCCTCGACTCTTCGACGAGATACGCCGAAAAAGGAGAAAGGACGATGGGAACACTCGATAAGAATGACGTGAGACGTTTCCGAACGATACGCAGCGCCATCTTGAAAATGTTCCGAAAATAGATCGTTTAGAACCAGGGTGGTTAAAAAACTATTACGAACCTATGAGTCGAACTGTGTATATCGATTTAAGTTGTTGGATCTCGAATAGGCAGTTCTCGGAAACTGTTTTGATCTATGTAGGATTAGAAATTTTTCGACGAAATTTAAAAATTTCAAATCATTTTGGAAAAATTATTTTTGGTTGCAGGGGTCAATTACAATCATTTTTGGTGAATACACATACCCCCGAAATCCTACGCACTTTCGAGAAAAAAATTCATTACCGTAAATTTCATGTCTGACCATACCGTTGATATGTTTCACTGAAATTTCAAGAGTATCTTTAAAAAATCATAACTCCTGAACGGATTGAAGGATTTTAATGTTTCAAACGGCAAACAACGCGTATTTTGGCGAAGAATATGTAGAAATTCCAAAAATATTCAAAAAGTTGATACTTGACCCGGAAAATGAGAAAAACCCCATAAAACTGGTCCAATTTTCAAACGGCCATAACTCTTACAATAGTGAATGGATTTCAATGAAACTTTTTTCTGCAGTAGAGCTCATAGGTACCTACAAAAAAGTATTAAACAACTGTTCCATGCAGCGCCAACCAAAGTAATTAAAAATGAAAAACGAATTTTTAAGAATAATCGACAGGGGGTAGGTGCCTGCGAAAAAAAATTTTTTCAAATCATTCTCAAAAAATTATTTCTAGCTGTGGAGGTCAATTACAATCATGTTTGGTAAGTAAACATACCCCCGAAATCCTACGCATTTTTGAGAAAAAAATTCAGTAAGGGGACAAATTTTTCGGCGAAATTAGAAAATTTCAAATCGTTCTGAAAAAATTATTTTCGGTTGCGGGGGTCAATTACAATCATTTTTGGTGAATAGACACACATCCAAATTCCTACGAACTTTCGAGAAAAAAATTCAGTAAGGGGACAAATTTTTCGGCGAAATTAAAAAATTTCGAATCGTTCTGAAAAAATTATTTTCGGTTGCGGGGGTCAATTACAATCATTTTTGGTGAATAGACACACATCCGAATTCCTACGAACTTTCGAGAAAAAATTCAGTAAGGGGACAAATTTTTCGGCGAAATTAAAAAATTTCAAATCGTTCTAAAAAAATTATTTTCCGGCGTGGAGGTCAATTACAATCATTTTTGGTCATTACATATACCTCAGAAATTCTACGCAGTTTCGAGAAAAAAATTCATTACCGAAAGTACAATGTCTGACCCTGAAATTCCGATTCCCCTGAAATGTCACGTGTATGATAAAGAAATCATAACTCCTGAATGGATTGAAGGATGTTAATGTTTCAAAATGGTCGCTAATTTTAGTGAAGAATATTTCGAAGTTAGACCATATTTAATGATTTTATATTCCCAATTTTCAGTTTAATTCTTGAGTGTGCGATATCAATTGATACTTTCAAGCAGATTTTCAAGATTTATTTTAATTTCTTTATGCAATTCCTTCGTAATTATCCCAGATACAGTACTTTAAAGTAAAATTTAGGTAGTGTCCGAATACTTTTAGGAGCAACTATAAGTGGAAAATGTAAACTATGGTTGTACGAGTGTGTCAGGTTGGTCTAAAACAAATGGTACAAGTAAGCAGCCCTCTTGTTACTCACTGTGATCGAGCTCGTCATGTTCCACGAGGTTCCCGGTCGTGTTATAGACTTGATGGTCGGGTTTGGCGGTGCTGGTGACCGCATCTCCAGCCGTTACCGTCGTGGACGGATTAGTCGGGATCGCTGTGCCGGCGCTAATCGCGGCTGCGACCACCGCGCTAGGTGGCGACGAGGATATCGTCGATACGAGATTCATCGTGCCGGTCGGGGTCTCGACCTTCGTCGCATTCAGCTCTGTCATCGTCGTTTCCCTACGCTCGCATATCGCCTCTTGCAACCTCGTTATTGCACGAAATTCCACGGACCGGGACTAGTCCCTGTTCATCGATCCGATCGGCTGGCTCCGTCGTGTCGGCGAGACACGATCCGCAACGTTCCGATTCGCAATTACGATTCAATTTAGACTTACGCCGCACCGATTAGGCCCGTTTGAAATCGCGTTTCTCGCAAAGGCCACGGGGATATCACGGTACGCGTTTCTCATCTCTCACCGAATTCGACGCGTCAAAGACGGTCAATTCGATCCACCGATACCCAATCGGACAGCCAACGTACAAATCTCGCCCACCGGACACACCTTCGCCACGACGAACGTTCCCCCTTGTCTTGTCCTGTTCGCGGGTGACCCGTGGGCAAGATTTACCGGTCGTTTCCCGAGGGACAATCTCGGTTCGTTTTCCGTATCGCGTTCCGTCAGAGAAACGATACAGACTCCCAGGCAGAGACGAACGAATCATTCACAGTTGCTGGGTTCAGGCTGCCGGCGGTTTCTGACCCACGCCGCGGCAGCGGAGCGGTTTTCGCGAGTGGATTAAGCGAAGAAATTCCTACGAGGGGATAGAGAACCTCGTTTACCGTTTCTCGGTTCAATTTCACAGGCGCAGACGATGATCCTGTTGGTGTTCGTTACCCACTGAGCGAGCGTCGCTCATTCTCGCTACTGCGCTCCCGGGAGAATCGTTTCTGTAACAGAAAAAGGAACCCCCCGTTACTGGATTGTCCGTGTAATTTCATTTCCCGCCCAAGGTACCACCATTTTTAGCGACATTATTCCCGATGCGTCAGCCTTTTAAAACCGCCGTCTAACCAAAAACTATTAATAACGCTACTTCGTTTAGAAATTTCAAAACGTTTAGTCTGCGATATTGTACTAATAATATGCGACAACTCCTGCACACGCTTAAAATATAGTTATTATTAACCCCTTCACAACCATGAGGCTACTCACTCGTCATCAAGTCTTACACGTTAAAATCAACACATTGTTACATTCACGAGGTAATCGTAAAAGAAATCTATTCTTTTTCGTGGCCATTCTTTCTACGAACAAATTTAAATGAAGTTAAATAGTATACGTTTAAAAAATTATTTGAAATGAAGTTGTATGTCAAGGGGTTAACACGTACCGTACCACGTGTACCATAAATGGTTCACGCAGACATATTTATTTAATACCCTGAAAACGTACATTTTATGACAAATTTAATTCTGTAAAATATATTTCCACCAAAAGAATGAGGCATTATAAAAAATGCAGTATAGAGCAAAGCATACGTTTAATTGTTACACAGAGTGTGGCACGTAACCGTAGCTACGATTTTTAAATATAAAAAGTGGCAAAGAAAATTCTTTTATTATACAAAGTTAAAGTCATTTATACATATTGTAACTCGTGTCAAGAGGAATTCAACGACCTGGTACACCATGACCTTCGGATGACCTTGTACTTCAGAAATTTGTTTACAATTTGCTGCTCTATCGTTGAGCTTCCGTCTTCCTTTTCGGTGCTATTTTCCATCGAAAATAACCCAATTATCAATATTTCACTAACGAGTTGTTGCTCGTCACTGTTCTGAACACACGCAGACGGCGAATCTGCCGTTTGACGATACAGCGATTAACCTAAGGATAGGACTGATTTCCCGATTTGCACGGACCGTCCATCGGCGATGCGTGCGACACTAATTAGTAATAGATCTAGTTCGATTTCGGAGCACCTACGAACAACCAATTTCGGAATAGACAGTCCCGTGCCACCTCCCAACAACGGTTTGCAGCCCGGCGCGTGCTCGATAATTAAACTTGGCTGTTAGTTAGCGCGGCATTGTTCGGCTAACAGTTTTCCGGGCACAGAGTAATTATTCATAAGCGCAAGTTCGTAACGAACGTGTACTGCACGCGTACTGGGAGGCGGGCTTGAAAATCTGGCCCCGGTGACCCCGCCGGTTTAAATTATCCACCAACGTTCCTTTCCGTTCCGTCCTCCTTTCCGTTAGTCTAAGTCAATTATTAAATTAAAAATAAGTCAAAGATACATGTTATTTTAACCCACCAACAACGGAGCATTTTTATTAAAATACCACGGTTGATTTTAATGACACAGGTCCCCTTCAACGTGTGTATTTTTGTAATTAATTATTTTACTGAAATTTTGAGGAGCTATATGTGGATAATATTGGAACTTTTTTTCTTGTGCTATCAGAGAAATTACTAGAAAAACACACACTTGTCGTGAAACGAGAATACTTGTTTCCCAATAGGTAATGCATATTTATTCTGACTTGCATCGACAATTCTGGAACCAATTGCAAGTAAGTCCGAAGTACGATGAAAGAACGATCGCAGAAAGGATTTGGGTCGATTCAACGAGCAAAGAAATGTTACATTTTTAAAAAATAATGATCCAGCTTGTGTAGCAAACGTAGCGGTAGGAAATAAAGAAAACCGTGGAAACAGCGAAAGGTCGATAGTGGAGTGTAAACGTTCCAACGCTGGAAGCGCGCGTTTACGTTCAACTATTAATTAGTTCCCCGGGAGGCCAATTACTAGTTGAAATCATTTCTCGAGCCATGGAACGCGCGGTCGTGCCTCAGAAGGAAAATAGCATTCGAAATGGCGTTACTTCCCGAGTGGTCAGCACTGGTTCGTAATATGGCAAACGAGGTCGATCGAATCGGACTTCGCGGACCAATGGAAGCTTAAAAGTCGTGAAAAACCTTCTTCGCGACGCGTCGTTTCACTCGACGATTATGCTGGAACGTTGTTAACTCGAACCATCGACAGTTTCAATTAGAATTCGCATTAACTACGTCTACTTAAATTTTCTTTGATATTGGCGATCGTGACGAGTGGTGGACAATTAAACATTGTTAAATTTAACCCTTTGAGACTTCTCTTCCACCATCCTCCACTGACTCAAACACACTTTCTTACGAATAGTATAACACGATAGTAAATACTCCAAACAAACACGTCTTCTTTTTTTAATTTTTCGCTTATGTATTTTATTGTAAGGCTATTTGTCTTATTTTGACCTCCAGAATCTCCCACCGAAAATTTTTCCCAGGGATAGTCGAACACAAAATTCTATGTCAGATATCCTTTCAAAAGGTACAACCAAGTGTCTTGAAATGATATTTAAAATTGTACAATATTCTCAACACATTATACCTATATTCTCTGTACCTTTGTTTACTTATCGTAGCTCTATGTACTCGTATCATAAAAGGTGCTCTAAGAGCGCAATGTATTAAAATATGTATGAATGAAAAATGAAAATTAGATTTTTGCCCCGAAGTTCCCCTCTATTCAAGGTATTGTGCATTGAAATTGCAACTGCGGTCGCCTCGAGGACGGTCGGTCGTCGTCGAAGGATAAATCCACCCTGAGCCGCGGCTGACGTCGTATAATGAGCTCGAACGAACTCGACGCTACGGTAACGTAACAAGCGACACACTCAAAATTATTAATCGGATTGAAAAGCGATCCAGCGAGTTTCGACGGAACGCGTCGCTGATGGTGGTTCTTTCTCGAGGGCGGAACACGCCCGGAACGCGGCAGCCCGTTATTTTATTAGAGCTAGGAAAGTTCGCCGATTCAACGGGAACAAGAGAGTAACGGTGATTACGCGGCTCTCGTGCTCCTTTGCAACCTGTTTTACCGCCATCTCTCATTTACGTCGCGGAAATTCCCGGCTGTGTCCAACGAGCGTGACGTATCCGACTCGGAGAGACATCCCCCAGGCAACATCTACTCCCATCGCGCTCGTATCGTATAACGATCATCCGCGATGCTCGAGTGTTCCTCCTGACTCGCTCAAACTCTAACGAGAAACCATCGATGCACAGCTGGCTGGTCGGACGTAAATTTAAACGACGATATCCACGGCAGAATTTCGATTATTCTTTGGCACGACATTGCCAATTCTCTATTTCACGGATCAATGACGCCCAAAATATTCGCCCGGTCGACGAACGCAGCGAAACAAAGATTCTACGAGTTACCGCGTCCGCGTAATCAACGAAACGCCACCCAACTCGCAATCAGAGCCGCAGAGAACATGGCTCTGCTCGTGAGCCGTGATTTTAATGAAAATTTACATTCTTCCCAGTGCCTATATTACCCGGAATATCTGTCAGACCCTCGTACGTTCGTGGATCTTCGCGAGAACATTGCCTCCATTCGACTGGCTCGTCTACAATTAGGCGCGTACCATCGACGTAAATTCTTTGGTCGAACTGGTTTTTTTTTTTACGAACCTCCCACGGGATTACTGTCAGCGTTCTGGTTAATTAAACTTGAGAAATAATTAATAACATTTAACGTTCAGAAATGTAAAAATATGTTTGCACGTCGTTGTAAATGTTGTTCGAATTGAACAAGAATTTTTATGATAAATTTTAATAATTCCAACGCGTTAAGAGACACTACCAAAAACATTGTCAAGTCTGCGGCGATCGAAAGTTGGAAAAGTTTATGGATGTTAAGCCATGCGATCGCGTATAAGCGGATACAAAGTGTGCTTCGAAACCGATTCTTTCGACCTAGGCGTGGCTCCTCCGTTATGGTTTTCGTAATCGTTACGCAACTTGGCGAAGGATCGCGGCGGTGATTTGCATAATCGAACTCGGCTGTTCAGTCTCCCGAGTTACTAACTGCTGCGCCAGCTAAACGCAATTGCGGCATCTGCGGCGTTAATAAGAAACTTTCTTGACATTAATTCCGTTAGGTTCGTTAAACAGGCGCCGTGGCAGCCGCCTTACGTGGCTCTTCGTTTTAATGGTTCGGTCAAAAATGGCCGTCGGCCACGACAGTGGCGGGGGAATCGAAAGATAAGCCTGAAAAATGGCCAGTTTTGGCACTCGCTTAAAAATATTGAGTCGTCCCATGCGTTCGTATCCAGTTTTCTACTACAACTTAAAGCAATATATTAAACATATAATGGCATTTTATGAAGTGTAGTAAACCTCTTCTCGTTCGACAACTCCCTATCCTTTGGCAAAGTTATTATATCGTTCATACAAAATTTCTTGAATTTTGTATTCAAATCTGGTTCAACGCTTTTCATTAAAATGTTTACAAATTGTTTACCCACTAATAAACCTGGAAATTGTTGTATTTTATCTCTTATAAGGCTCGGTTTTATTACATGCTAACAAAAATATTCATGCAATCAGGCTCAAGCACGATCAAAATACATAGTTGAATTGTTTTCTATTGTATTATAAATTTTATCCTCGTCAATTTCAGAATATCGAACGACTCGAACTTATGGAACGATCTAATAAAAATATCTTACCCGCGTATCTTACAAAATCAGGGCACAATAACAGTTCAATCGTTAAAAGAATTGTTAAACTTCCTACTGAATTCATTATGCTTTGAAATTGTTTTCCTACGATATATTTTGCAGAAAATCATAGTGTTCTTAGAGAATTAAGTGGGCAGGTAAAGGAAATCAGTAT